CCTGCCTCTCGCACAGTGACTGCTGGACATGGGCATCAGTGACCCCCGCGACCCAAAATGGAAGAAGCGGGTAAAGATGATGGATGGATGGATCTTGCTTAACTCTGAATGCTAGGAAACACCTTGTAACTGCGACTTTCCTTCCCTCCATTGACTATAGTGACATTATTTTCATGAATGCTCCTACAAGCACCCTGCACATGTTGGAGGCTGTCTATCATGGTGCGCTAAGATTCATAACTGGCTGTAACTACCGTACCCATCACTGCACCCTGTATTTACTGGTTAACTGGTCATCATTAACTTCATGCAGACTCTCACTGGTACATTTTCATCTTGTAATCACTTGGTCTGCTGCCTTCATACATCTCATACATACATACATGTTACGTCGTCAGTGCAGCTACAGCGTACGCTCTCAAGACATCATTAACTGCAATGTCCTCTCAGTTTGGACTGAATTTGGCAAAATGACCTTCTCTTACTTGGCTTCTGTTTCCTGGAACAGCTTGCAAAAAGATTTGATGCTCTCCACTTGGACCTCTCTAAAGGATTTTAAACTACTGTTAAGTTCAATGCAAAAACGTCTTTTGGAGTGCAGGGGGTGCTCCTTAAGACCTTCTTTGACTCTGTAGTGGCATCAGCCATCTTCTATGGTGTTGTGTGTTGGAGCAGCAGCTTATCATCAGCTGAGAAGAAGCAGCTAGATAAGCTCATCAAGAAGGCCAGCTCTGTGCTTGGACACCCCTCAACCCAGTGCAGGTGGTGGGAGACAGAAGGACTCTAGCTAAAATAACATCATTGCTGGACAATGTCTCCCACACCATGCATGAAGCTGTTGCTGAACTGTAGAGCTCGTTCAGTGACAGATTACTGCATCCTAAATGCACAAAGGAGTGTTACCACAGTTCCCTCTTCCCAGCAGCTGTTAGACTCTACAACCATCGACAAACTCAATAAGGATTAAATACATGCTGACCTCTGCTAAAACATACTCTGCATATAATCCTGGATTGTAAATAGTCTGCCATTATCAATGTTCCAATACATATTGAACATTATTATTGATATTGTTTATCGTATCCTGATGCATGCTCAATAATCCAGGTAGAAAAATCTAAAAAAGTTAAATCTGGTCCTCTGGACATTCAAAAAAACCCAAAACAAAGCAAATCAACAAAAAAATGTAGAAACGTTTCGTCTCT